AATGAAGAAATTTAGTTGGTTGACAAGGAATATGTTGGTCACTGTACAGTGGGTGGGGAGATCAGCAAATACTTTGTCAGATGTGTTAGCTAAGCAAGGGGTAAATAGGGAAGAATTATTTTGGGCTCAGTTGTGATTATTGTTTTTCTTTCCTAGTTATTTGTAAGATTCAAGGAGGCTCTGCAGCTCGTGCCTCTCGTTGGGATGATGTATGAACTCACTCTAAAGTTGCTTTTGAATCAATAAACTTATTATTATTCATAAAAAAAAAGGAAAGGTTGCACCTTGTGCCTTTCCATGGGTTGCCTGTAACTCTTATTTGCTGGTTTAATAAAATCTTATTCATAAAAAAAAGACAGAGGGTGGAGAGGTAGTGGAAAATGAGACTTTCATGAAGAATGTGGTGTTGGAGTTAGAGAGGATAAATGAATATTCTAAGGATTTAAAGGATTCTGAGAAGGTGCCTAATGCTGTAAATCATTAAGCATTTGGAGAAGTCGGAATCATCATAGATCCATTCAGGTTTTGAAAGTTTTTGCTAGGTTTATTTGGAATAGGGTCCAAACAAAATGGTGAAGAAATCAAAGAACAACCTTAAAATAAGTAAAGAGGTTCTGGTTTAAGCCTTTGAAGAAGCCGAGTAGTTGAGTAAAGTAGTGTTTAGGCTTTTGTTGAAGTCTTGTTTTTTGTGGAGTTTCTTGGTGGTTGGGGTTTGGGTGAGATTGATGTGTGCATTGATTAGATGGCTTGTTAGAGGAATTGCAGGTTGAAGTCTAGTTGTTGATTGGATGAGTGTTTTTGGTTTTGGTTGGATTTTATCATGGTTGGGTTGTTGATGTTAATACATCTTAGCTGGTTTTCATTGAGAAATATGTACTTCCACATTTAATAAATGCATTTTCAAAAAAAATACAATTACCCTAGAATATTGATGGTAGTCATTTAAGTATCATATTTTTAGCTTGTCAAGATATCAGATCTTTTCTGGTATTTACCTGTGCCTCCACCTGTTAACCTCAAATTGTCTCTGTATTTACTTATTGGTACTGACATTGATTAATTTGATCCTAGTAACTGGTGCTCCAATGGTGATATTGTTTTTTTTTTTTTATAAGTACCAATGGTGATATTGTTTTTTATTGGGTTTTGTTACATAATAGTTTTCTTCCTCTAAACTGATGGATAAGTTCCTTCATTGTAGATTGACGACAATGAGAAGGTTACTATGATTGATTTCCCCCAAATGGTATCTGTTTCGCATGCTAACGCACAGATGTACGAAAATATTCTACTTAATATTCTTTCATGAACTTTCTAAATGTTGCCTCACTTTTATATGCCTTCAATTTCTTGCCATTAAATTTTATTCCTACATTTTTAAGATTGTCTTCCATTCCATTTCTTAGAAAGCTTCCTCTGTTTCAGGTACTTTGACCGTGACATTGAATGCCTTTTTAAATTCTTCAAGAAGAGGTCAGTGATTTTTTTTAGATTCTTTTAAAGTTGAGGCTTAAGGGTCGGAAAAGTACAGTTATTTGAAACTTTCCTTGCTAAGATTTAGTGTTCTTTATTTGTTTGATCAATTTCATTTATTGTTAATTAGACAGATTGTTATAAGTTTCTCCTTGCAAGTATGGAGGATTCCTAAACATTGTTTCTGTTCAGAATTCTTTTTTGTTGTGTGATATGCTGATTTCTTATCTTTCAGGTTTAAACTTTCTTTTCATGAAAACAAAGACGAATGTGATGCTTCAGAATCAGATGTAGATGAAAATGGCAGGCCTTGCTTTTCCTCAATTGAGAAAACTGCTGGTTTTCTAGACAAGGAACTTTCTGCTAGTGGGTTTACAAGAAAAGATCAGGATGAGATAGAAAAGGTACCATAATGCATGATCTATAACTTGGATGGAAGATTTTTTTAATCTCCATATGGCTGCCTTTATATGTCATGGAGAGGTTTTTTTCCTTCCCTCTTCTTGCACCAGGGAATGGAAAGATTAGTCTAGCCTTCATAGTGTCTTTTTTTTTAATGAGCAACTGAACAATTTAATTAAAATATAAAATTAAATGACTACATTCCAGCACCCCAGTGCTCAATGCCCACTTTGCGATGTGCCTTTGCACCCCCTTCCACTCTCTCTACATGATATATTACACAATATTTACAACTGTCCCATGAACAACTGCATCCTTGTTGCTCCTTGCTTAGCAAGAAAATCTGCCAATTGGTTGGCTGATCCTTTTATCCAATGAAAAGTAGCCTCTAATTCCCTTGATAGCATTTTTATCTCCTTCAATATATATCTGCATTGCCATAATCCTTCACTATTTGTTCTCATCCAGCTCGCCACTATCTTTGAGTCTCTTTCCACTAGCATGTTTTGGACTCACATTTCCTCCCTAGCTTTTTTTTTCCCTCTTTTTGAAACTCCAAACCTTACTCAGGTGGAGGTGTGGCCACCTTAAATTTTATTAATCATTATCAAATGGAAAATAACAAATTACAGGGGAGGACTTAGCCTGCCTTGCCCCCAAAATATACATAATGCACTCCCTTACCACCTGAATCTTTGAGTCTCTTACCACTAGCATGTTTTGGACTCACATTTCCCCCCTAGCTTTTTTTTTTTTTTCCCTCTTTTTGAAACTCCAAACCTTACTCAGGTGGAGGTGTGGCCACCTTAAATTTTATTAACCATTATCAAATGGAAAATAACAAATTACAGGGGAGGACTTGGCCTGCCTTGCCCCCAAAATATACATAATGCACTCCCTTACCACCTGAATCTGCCCAAGACATAATAAGAATAAATGCAAAGCCATCAATCTAATTAAGCCTAAGATGCAGAAGCAAAAAGGGAGTCTTCAAAAAGGCATTGCTGAACAATGTGAGAGAGCTCCAATTTGTACTCGAAAATATAGTTCCTTCTAGAATCACAAAAATGGTTTCAATTCATGAAATTGATGTCTTTTAATAGATGGAAATTTGTAGAAGAGAAAAAAAAACTATAGAAGAAGAGAGTTAGGTGCTAAGGAAAGAACAGGAACGGACTTTAACAGAAAAAAAAAATCCAATAAAGAAGTTGAAACATGGAGATTCAAATATGTGATAAAGGAAAAGCAAGCAAGAGCTTCTGAGTTGAGAAGTCCTTAGGTATGGACTCCTAGAACTGTAAACAGCATTGCTGATGGTTTAGCTGAACTAGGGGTTAACAGAAGAGAATTGTATTGGGACCTGTAAATCTGAACTAAGAAAAAAGAAGGCTAGCTGAGCTGCCAAGGCTAGCTCTCTTAGTGGGTATAGGTATCTATATATCTACTTTGTAATATTCTGTTTTCATTAATAAAATTTGATCAAAAAAGGAATTGCCACTACTGCACACAACACATCCTGTTGACCCAATGACTTAGAAACTTAAAATCTGTCCTAACAATAGCCTAAGTAAAAGGTAACAACTTACAATATCTGGACCCCACATAAGATGCAAAATGATCAAACTAACCCCACAGCTCAAAATTTAGAAAAGAAAATAGGAAAGAACAGAAAATCCTGAGAACAACTCTCTCTCTCTCTCTAATATGCGCGTGTGTCAAAGGAACTATTTTTTTTTACATGTACAAGTGTACCTGCACTGTGCTTGTTTAGATGGTACAGTGGCTGTCTCATTCTTGTTCCCTCCCTGGATGACCTAGGTGGTTTCCAAATGGAAAGCCATCTTTAGGTCATCAATTTCTGACAAAAGCACAACCCTGAGTCATACTAGGGGTTTGCAAAGAGCATTCATCAATATTAATTTGCAGAAATGACCAATTGTTCAATTTGTTACAACTAGGAATTCCCTGCCACAATCATCTCATAATTTATAGAATGATCCATCTCAAACTCTTGCAGGGGGTCAATTTGCTCAATTCTTGCAGCATTGCCTGTGCCAATTGATTATTTAAGTGCAATATATATATGGGGTACATTCCTATTCCAAAGAACCAGGGTGACTACTGCATGATGTGCAGCTTGTTGTTTATATTTTGGTTCCACTTCCTAATCATAGTTTTGTGAGAACAACTCCCTCTCTCTCTCTCTCTCTCTTGTACAAGTGTACCTGCACTGTGCTTGTTTAGATGGTACAGTGGCTGTCTCATTCTTTTTCCCTCCCTGGATGACCTAGGCGAGAAAGGTTATCTTTTCTCCATATTTGATGATTGATATATATATGTCAGTTTTCCTCTTGCTCTCCTTGTAAAGTGGTATTGTCTATTTTTTTTCATTATAATTTCTGACTTGAGTTTCTCTATCACCAATACTTGTGCAGTTCATTGAAGGACAGAGTGATAGCGATACAGGTTATGATGAAGACAAAACTGTGGATAAAGGATGCCTCCATGATGAGGATGATGAGGCCAATGTCAGCAATTTGGATAACTTGCGCTTGGTAGATCAGGTAGATACTTTAAATTGTTTTCTATAACTCCTCCAATGATTCTGACTAGATCTGAGGAGATGTTACTTTGGGACTTTTGCAGTACCTGCGCTGGCACTGGGATTTTTTTTTGGGGGGGGGATAAATGTGAAACAACTAGTGAATTAGAAGGAGGTGAAGAGGTTAAAGGAAGAGGGATGCATACTGACTAGGGATAGGTTGTCTAAGAGAAACATTTTGTGCCTTCTTGGTAAATGATTATGGAGATCCCTACAGAGTATTGCAGCTTGTGGAACTCAAGTATTGACTATTGAGAGCAAGTATGTTGTTATTCCAATGAGTGGGATATTGGACTGGCTGAAAGGATCACTCCCCTCTATTTTGGACTTGCTGTGAGGAAGTTTGTTATCTATTCTCCCCTTTTCCATCGGCTTATGACTTATGAAATATGATCTACTCCCAGAATAAGGGAGATTCCACAAGGTTTATTTTTTGGTTTGCCCAAACTCTTTCGGTCTTTTGTATATCCAACCTTCACTCTTCAATACTTTGTTTTTTCTTTCTTGAAGAAAACATGGCTCTTGGTAGAGCAAAATGGAGGGACAGGATTTCTGTAGCCAACTCCAAATAGTTGAGATTAAGGCTGAGTTTAGTTGACTTGTCTTTCTTGAAACTTAGTTATGGAGGGATTTTGAGGGTAATGAGGTATGTTTTACCAATATTTTGTCCTCCTCATGGTGGGCTTGGATGGTTGATCCTCACCCTTTTTACTAATGAGATTACAGAAATTTTAGGGCTTGAACAGTCTTAGGTGTCTTATTATAACCAGGGACTTAGTGTCTTCATATCTCTTTTTCAATACAATATTCTTTTTCTAATCATTCATTTAATTTATTTTTAATGGATATTCATTTACAATTTAATGATACCCAAAATATTTAATCAGATATTCTGTCCTCTAATTAATTAACTGATATATTACCCATTCACTGGCATTGAATTCAGGCTGATAACCTGAAAACCATTATCTATCCTTGCGTGCTGCTTTTGTTCTTCATTTGGCATTAAATGAAGCCTGGGATGAAGGCATTGCTAGTTGGTTTACATGCATAATGCATTCTTTCATTTGTAATGAAATTGGCCAACAACAAGGGACCAATGTGAAAAACCAAACCAAAAGTCGAAAGGTAAATACAGAAGACCCAAACCACATAGACTGTCTCTATAGTGGAAGTAAGACCCTGGCATAAACCACTCTATCTTCCTTTTTTTTGACAAATTAACAGATTTTGTATTCAAATTCATGAAAGAATCCTTGCATGTCCAACCCAGAGAGAAGGAACAGTACAAAAAACTGCATGGTGCTGACCAAAACAAGAGAAATGCATTAATGCAAAACAGGTTTAAGCCCATGGGCATGGTGATGGTGGTCAATCTCAAATGTCTGAGGAAGGATACGGTTGAAATGGGTTTGAGGAAGACGGAAAGTGGCCGGACCTCTAGAGTGGCTGTGCTACATACCCTCCAGAGAGGGATCAGGCTGCTGTAGTTCCCTGCAGAATGACAGTGATCTAAGAGGAGAGGCAAGTTGGTCTTCAAGAAGAGAGGGAATTTTAGAGAGAGAGACCGGCTGGGAGAGAGAGTTTGGGTCTTGGACATCCCTCCAGTTGATTCAGGAATATCTATTGCGGATCTTTTGGCTAAATCTGGGGTGGATAGAAATTTTTTTGTATAGTGCTAATAGTTTGTCCCCTTAAGTGGGGTGATTTTATAGTTGTGGGATCTGGATGGTTTTGTATATCTTCTCATGTACATCCCCCCTTTTTTGCCCCTTTTGAATAATACAGTTATCCTTTCTCAAAAAATATCTATTGTTTATCTTTTTCTATTTCTTAATGCTTCTTGGTGACCCGGGCTGGTCATTGGACCAGACTGACTCGGTTCCAGTTTGAGATTGTTTAAACTGGGTCTGTGGTGAGTTGGATGTCTATGCTCTTAACAACATAGAGATTTACAACAGAGACCTGGGGCCTGGCATCCCCTAATCAGTTTAGTTGCACCTGCCCTGGCTAGGCTATCTGCAAGGGAATTGGCCAACCAGGGAATCCACCTGAACAAACAATTTTGGCTTCTTCCAATACCATATGCTTCCCTTACCAAAAATCTGAATCTTCAGTGTGGTTCCTCCTCTAAGGCGATCCAAGCAATAACCACTTGGCAGCCCCCTTCTATGATCACATCCATCTAGTTCTTTAATGCCAACAGCTTGAGGCCTTGAATTAGTGCCATTAATTCTGCTGTCAAAGAATTGTCAAAACCATCAGCCTCTGAAAAGCTTAATACAATGTTTCCTTTCTCATCCCTAATCACCCCTCTCACACCACAGTCACTAGGAATTTGAATCTGTCGGCTTCAGAAGGTTGCCAATTGAGCATTCTGTCAGGTTGAATTAGTGCCATTAATTCTACCATCAAAGAATTATCAAAAGAAAACCAACAGCCCCTGAAAAGCTCAATGCAATGTTTCCTCTCATCTCTAACCACACTCCCTCACACCTGAGTCACCTGGGTTGCCCGAACAACTCCCATCATGATTGAATTTGTATCTGCCGGCTTCAGAAGGTTGCCAATTAAGCATTCTGTGGGGTCTCGCAACAGAAAGGCTAGCAATTATTTCCATCTCCTTAGCAAATCATCCATCTTCACCCCACAAAATTCCTCACACAACAATACCCATTGAGTAACTTTAATAAAACCACCCTGGCTCCATGCAACTTCTGCAAGAGACTCCGCTAGGTTTTCAACCTTTTTTTTTGTTACTAGAAAAATCAGGGTAGCTTAGTAGGACTAAAAGTGAATTGAGAAGTATACACACTCTTCCATTATATCATGGGTGGTAACCAAATATACGGAAAATGAGAAGTGTACTTATAGTAGAGTTCCAAACTTGGCCTTGATTGTAACACATCCAGTATAATAAATGCCTCCCTATACATCCCCTGGACTATCTTGAAGGGAAATAACTGATCTATAATTCATCTAAACAAGCTGTTCATTTTCGATGCTAAAGATCTAGCCTCACTGATTATCAACAGTTCATGAGTTAACTGAATTTCTCTGTTATTAATGAATTTTTTTTGCAGATAAAAAAAACAGTCCATGAGTTATCTTTCAATATAAGCATGTGCCTCCCTAATTAGTTTTTGAGTTGTTTTAAATTCCATGGAATATATATAGGATGTTCTATATAAGACTAAGAGGATGTTTACATTTTTGGTTTTCTTTGTTGTATGTGTGAGATGTGTTAGTGGAATTTTTTTAGTATAATTTCTCACATAACATAATTCACCCAATTAGACTAATAATTGGGGTTTTTTGTTATTTGGGTAAGCCTCATTCAGGAAATCACGCAGATGTCCATTCATTACATCTCTGCTATGGGTAGATAAAACCTTTTGATTTTGATTCAGAAGTACAAATGAATAGATTAAACTAAGTATCAATTTTCTACAGAACTTTCCTTTGAAAATTCTGGTATATATTCCCTTTTTATTTGAGAGAATACCAACAAATAAATAAACAAATTTTTTATACATAAAGTTGTCTGAAACCCAGAAGGTTCAGACCTGTCTAGTAAGGAAAAATAAACCAGAAATGAAGAGAAAAAAAGAGAGAAGAGAAAAGGAGAAGAGAAGAAGAGAAGAGGAGAAGAGGAAGAGAGAAAAGAAGGGAATGTGAGGGTTCGGCCCTCTTGGTCTGCCGCCCCAAATGTCATTTAAATTAAGTCTTCAACATTAAGTGGTACAATGACAGGAATGCCCATCACTAGAAACAACAAAAAAATCTAACAGTACTGTAGACAAGAAGAACATATGAGCAGGTGGTGGGACCACAAGCTGGTCAACCATCCCCCTCAAGTTGGGAAAATATATTGATCATTCCCAACTTCAATGTGTTTGGTTCTATCATGCTGTATTGGGTTGTGAGCAATGTTGATGGCCGCTTAATTATCACAATACAACATCAAGGGTTTTTCAAACTCAATTCCCAATTCTGTAAGGAAAGACTTCAGCCATTATATTTCAGCAACACCATTAGCTATAGACTTGTATTCAGCTTCAACACTAGACAGAGCAACAACATTTTGCTTCTTGCTCCTCCATGGAACTAAATTTCCTCCAACAATGGCACAATACCGAGAAGTAGATCTCCTTTCATCAATACAACCTGCCCAATCTGCATCAGTGTATACTTCAATCTTCATATGGCCACTATTTTTAAAAGGTATACCTCAGCCTGGACACCTCTTCAAGTAGGCTAAAATTCTCTCAACAACAAGGAGGTGTGAGGTCTTGGGAGAGTGGATGTATTGACTAACAACACTTGTAGCATACGAAATGTCAGGGCGAGTCAGAGATAGGTAGAGAAGTTTTCCTACAAGCCGTTGGTACATACCTCTATCATCTAGAGGCTCACCATCCTCTACATTAATCTTATGATTTTGCTCAATGGGGAGTATCAACATGCTTAGCTCCTAGTTTTCCTGTCTCTTCCAACAGATCAAGAACATACATCCTTTGGGAAACAAAAATGCCATGCTTGAACCTCGCCACTTTTATCCCAAGAAAATACCTCAACTCACCTAGGTCCTTTACTTCAAATTCTTGATTCAGCAGTTGCTTAAGAGAGTTAATCTCATCAATATCACTTTCTGTCACCACAATGTCATCCACATACATAGATATGAGAGTCAAAGTAGATTCTTTCTTCTTAAAGAACAAAGTGTGGTCATATTTGGATTGAACATAGCCAAATCTTTCCAAAGCAAATCTAAATCTATCAAACCATGCCATTGGAGATTGTTTTAGACCATACAAATCTTTTTTCAACTTGCAAACTTTCTTACCAGTCTCTACACCATAGAAACCAGGAGGTAACTCCATATACACCTCCTGCAAGTCACCATTTAGAAATGCATTCTTAACATCCATTTGAAACAGAGGCCAAGATAAGTTAGCAGCA